TTTAAGAAGATGTTGGATAGCCATTTGTCTGGAAAGGTATAGGGTTTCCTGCCTAGGCAGGGGGTTGGACTAGAAGACCTCCAAGGTCCCTTCCACCTCTGCTATTGTATTGTATTTTTTTTTCTTTAACCATACTATTTTAAAAAGGTCCCTTGTCAAAAAATAAATTGTTACATCATCTTCTATTTTAAGCTTTTATTTTAAGCTTCTAAAAGCTAATTAAGTGACCAAATACTTCTTCACAGAACAAGGAAACAAAATAATTAGGGAAACATTCTAGCAAGCAGCTTACATATAAAGCAATAGCCATAGAGTCATACCTAGCTCCAAGGCAAACTAACATCTGAAATTTGCCATCTTTCCCAATGTTTCTAGGAGTGTTGTTGATGGCTGTTACAAAGCGACAAAAACTCCTCGCCCTTTTCTGCCAGTTTTCTTCTGGGACCAGTTCATTCTGATCAAGAGCTTCATAAAATCCTTGTGCTTTTTCTGAAGGTAGACATAAAACACACAAAAAAATGGTCATCTAACCATATCGGATTGTAACTGATTTATTTTTGTGTTTCTAAATACAAACATACAAATTTTACTCTTATCACCTAATATCTATGAAGTACAAATAGTCCTTGACTTACAACTACAACTGAGCCCAAAGTTTCTGTTGCTAAGAGACATTTGTTAAGTGAATTTTGCCCCATTTTATTATCTTTCTTGCTACAGTTGTTAAGTGAATGGCTGCAGTTGTTAAGTTGGTGACATGACTGTTAAGTGAATCTGGCTTCCTCATTGAATAAGCTTGTCAGAAGATCACTCAAGGGGATCACATGACCCCAGGACACTGAAACTGTCATAAAGATGAGTCAGTTGACAAGTGTCTGAATTTTGATCATGAGACCATGGGAATACTGCAAGGATTGTCAGACTGAAAAATGGTCATAAGTCGCTTCTTTCAGTGCTATTGTAATTTTGAACGATCATTAAATGAACTGTCGTAAGCTGAGAACTACCTGTAGTATATTATTGTTTTCAACTTTGTTATAATGAGAATTAGTAGAGAATGTATATAATACATAAAAAAGCAAATATCACTGCACTTTCAAATTTAAATTTTGACATTCAAGCAACTGATAAAATATCACTCATATTTTGGCTTAGTGTTCTTCGTATGAAATATTATTTGATGACTTTCTTCCATATTGCCTTGTTTCTTCAAATATTATCTAGAATAATTGCTTCATTTCATTTTCATTTAAGAATGGGTGTTAAAAGTTGTTTCTAGTACTAAATAGTGTTTACCACAATAACCAATAATTCAAATTACAGGCTCATTTAAGAAGACAAAGTAGATACTATAGGATTATATTTCCAAGCAAGTGTTCTGTACTTACCTAGAAAATCCCAAATAAAAACATTTTTGAAGAGCCTAGGAGATTTAAATCCATGCTGAAACACTTGCTCTAGAGCTGAAACAAGTCCACCTTCTCCACAAAGCAAAAGTGTTAAACTGCCTCTCTGCCAATGGAAAATCAAACAAACATATTTTAAGTTGTTTATATATCTATCTAACCATAAACCACTATAGCCTGTGATAACTAACTGAACACTATATACATTTGCCATAAGCTACCTATATTTCATGTTGATTCCACTTATTATATTAAAAAGATTCAGGAGTAAGGCCACAACAGAAATTGAATTTTTTTTAATACAGATTAAATTTACTTAAAAGGTAGCAAAATGAGAACTACTGAATGAATAACACACTAGAACAGGGATAGATAATCTATAACTTATATATAACAACAGCCCTTTTACTGTATCAATGGAGACCCCCAGATTGTATCAGCAAGAAAACAATCAACTTTTACCATACAATAGTGGCCTCCAACTTTTTGGGCACCAGGGACCATGGAGAGAGGTTTTTCCATGGACCAGAGGGGGCTTGGTTTCATGTGCTGCCTGCATCCTGTGGATGGGGCTTTATTTGTTTGCACAGCCCAGTTTCTGACATGCTGCGGACCAGTGCCGGACCATGGGCTGGGGGTTGGGGACCTCTACCATATATCGTCAAGAAAGGACAAAATAGGCAAAATACTAGCAGGCAATTGAAACTGTAGGGAGAATAGTAGACAACTTCTGTTTGCTATGGATGCATGCTACTGGGTATCTGTAATAGCATGTAGGAAACACCTTGGGAAAGGACAGAAGAAATATCACCAAAGGAATGCTCAGATATGAGAAGGATATAGCCTGCAACTGGAAAGAGCGCAAGCAAGAAGCTCAAAAGGAATCCTCCCTAGCTTCTCAGATTGTAAAGGAGATGGAATTTGAATTTGAACTTTAACTTGTCAGATTCTCTTAATGTAGGTTTACAATAAAATAGAATTAGTTCATTTGATCATGTTTCCTGTTTGTCCTGAAAGGCCAGACCTACAAAGACTGAAGCACCACAGGATATGTGTACTACTTCAAAATAGGAAAACTAGTAAAAAATCTCAAGATGTGCATGAAAATGAAGGAAAGTATTGTTGATCCAGATTCAAACAAATCAAAATCAAAATTGCCTCTATTTCCACAGTGTGGTTCACCCAGCCCAGTGATGGCTAACCTTTTCTGGAGCGAGTGCCCAAAGTGTGCGCACATGCACCCAACCCCCCAAAATGCAATGCGCATGTCATCCCCGCACATGTCCCACCCCTTGCGCCTATGTACACATCCCCCTGCATGTGCTCCTCCCACACATGTGCGCCTCCCCCCCGCACACGCCCCACCCCCGTGTATGTGTGGCAGACATCCGATGAGCAGCTGGCCGGCAGTTGAACTAGAGTGACAGCTCTTGTTGTTCTAACCTAGGCTTCCTGATACAGTAAAATGCACACAGCTCCTTTATTTCAAAGGCTGTGAATTATATTCATTCACAGCCCGTAATGAGTTCCAAATAATAGTAAAGAGTTCTACAGCAGACTGCCAAAGTCCTTCAGGATAAGGCTGATAAGCACCCACCTTTATCTTTCTTAAGTCTGCCAAAGACTTAATTGGCAATTAGCTTGGCAAGGCCACATGGAGCAAAGAGTCCAACAGATTTTCAGAAGGTAAACTGACCAGCATGAACCAAATCGCTCCCTGCAAAGGCTCATGTGCCTTTGCTCCTCCTTTATGTCCTATGGGAGGGGGCCAATCACCTCCAAACCTTACTCCCGAGTCATCCCTTCTGTTTTAACTGTTCTTGCCTTCTGGCAACCCTGTGCATGTGCGCACTGGGAACAGGGGGAGCGTATTCCTCTGTCTTGCTGCTGTCCAACTCTGGAGATTCCAGAGGCAGCACATAACTTCCAGATGGTGCTGGTCCCCTCTCTGCCTCCGACGCAGAGCCCTCATCTGAGACTTCTCCAGAGTCCAGAACTAGCCCATGTTCTTCTCCAATCTCCTCGCTGTCCAACTCTGCTGCTAGCTCCTCAGTCCACCGATGGATCACAACACACATGCCCACAAAGAGGTTGCTGCGTGCCACCTGTGGCATGTGTGCCATAGGTTCGCCATCAGAGACCTAGCCCCTTCTGATCAGATAACAACAATTTACCAAATTTGTATGTTGCCTGACATAACAATTAAAAGAATTACAGTAAAACATAAATTAGATGTAAATTTATATTTCACCTCTGCTAATACTGATCAAATGAACTTAATAACAGCTTCCAAACACACTTGAAAGTCCTAATAAAAGATGTCACAATATGAAATTATATACAATATTATGTATTTGATAATCCATACCTTTATATTAATTAGCAATTATATTAGTCAATTCTAAGCAGATATCAATCAAGGAAGAAATTATCAACTCCCATTATTGCCATGTATTGCTTACCTCTTTCTCTGGCTTGTGGAAATGTTTGACAATTCCATTTACTGCTTCACCAATAGATTCTTGTATCTGACCTGTATTTAACTCTGCAAAAGGAAATATATATATATTTAAAAAATCTAATCCGATATCTAGATTATACACAGATAAGTCAAGTCTTTTTAAAAATAATAATGGAGAACATATTCTCTCTCTTTTATATAACTTTTTAATTTCAGAGCAGCATACCACAAATAATACTTCTATAATAAACAGCAATAACGTAATAAAATATATTGAACTATCTGTGTAATAGGTTAAAAAATTAACTTTGTAGCTTTGTCCTAGTTTTGAATCAAAGGTCCGAAGAGAGCACCTTAACCTTAAGGACAAATCCTGTTTACTGCAGGAAGTGAAATATCCCCAGCAAATAATTGACAAGCTTCTGCTTGAACACATCTACTGATGGGAAGCCGTCTAGCTCTCTCAATAATTGGTTCTCCTGTTAATCTGTTCTTCCTATTAGGAAGTTTGATTCCCTCTCCCCCAAACATTAAATACTAACTCTTTCCTATTACTTCTGCCTTATGCCAGGGGTGTCAAACTGGCGGCACGCGGGCTAGATGCGTCATGCATAGGCTACGCCCACCCCAGCTCTGTGAAGGGGAATAATATCGCGAAACATCACATGACAGCAATGTGACATGGTGAGTTTGACACCCATGCCTTATGCTGTGCAGCAGTATAGAAGAGATTATCTTTTTTGTATCTTTCAAATATTATACAAAAATGGTACACTATCCTCTCTCAGCCTTCTCATGTTTAAACATTCTCAGTTCTTTTAATCACTCCTGTAGGATTTAGCTTCTAATAAAGAACTGGATACACTGGATGGTGGCTGACCAATGCAGACCAGCAGAATCTAATGACTTTTCATGATGTAGAAATTATACATCAATGGGGCCTAAAACTGCATTTGTCAATGGGGCCTAAAACTGCATTTGTCTCTTTTTTTTTGTCCTTTTTTTGCAGTTAGGTCACATTGTAGATTCTGATTCAGTTAGTGATCAATAATAATATACTTGTGCATTCTGCAGTTGTCTCTAGTAAAACAGAAACATACTTTTTCAGTACTGTTGTAAGTTCAAATGACCGTTAAACAAGACTGTCATTAATCAAGGACTACCTGTATATACTTGTTTGTAATGCACACAAAGTTAAAGCATCAAGATGCCCATATTTGTTACTATCAGCCCTTCCAGGTAAACCAAACAGGACTGGCTGCATCTACCTGATATTGATATTGTAACAATGTGGCTACCAGATGCTCAAAGGCTACTAGTATTCTTGGACGATGGGAAGCCATTCTCAAAATCCCTCTCTTTGGGAGAGAATAGGAGATTTGCAAGATTGATGTCAGCCTTCCCAGGCAAATCAGACAAGAAACAGGACTAGATGAATCAATTCTACTTTATTGTAAAGCTACATTAACAGAATCTTGCAAATCTGAAGGCACAAACTTCCCAACATCATTTTTAAATGTTTCACCCATCAGGATGGGCCCTTCCTAAATGACTTTCTCTGACCATTAGCCACTGGGGGGCTCCTGCCTCTCTTGTCTGATTGCTTCCTAGGCAGCATCTCTTCCCCTCTTTCCCAACGATAATTCCTTTATAGTTATAAAGCAGATACCTGTATATAGGAAAAATTGGTATTTGGCAAATGATGATAGTAGTTACCATCAACTGGCTAAGTGCAATCTTCATAACTTAAACAAGAAAACCTCTAACAAGTTGTTATCTATCCAGCTTGTAACCATTTATGTTTTCAGCTTTATATTATACATTTAATCAATAAATGTTGTCTTTCTTACCTCAGTCAGTAAATAAATCAATACGCAATTCATTTGCAGCAATATTTATGAACTCTCACGTATATTTGACATAATAACCAATTATAATGCACAGTTTAGTTTTAATAGTATGAAGTTTAGAATTATTTACAACTGATAATTACAGAGAACATATCAGCAGTTTTGAGATCAAATGAGTGGGTCATGCAACTGTTAGGATACTGAGTCCCCCTGAGTATTCTATGCCATTTTTCAGGTAGCTCATTCCATCAATACAGTGAGGGAACCCAAAGGTGCTTTTTTCAAGAGGCAACTGGACTTTCTGGTTTTTCTTTGAAGACTGAGAATCTCCATAGACACTATGAGTGGAAGTAACTACAATCTACCCAGCTTACTTGGCTTGTTGTTGGGTGATATGGTGACAAATCTTCTGATCATGCTGGGGGACTGCTGCAATGGGGGGGTTCTGCATTGTCTTTCATCTGCCTCAGAATGAGATGTCAGCAATTCACCCACTAGGATCCTTTCTAAGCTGCCATCATCTACACCTTTTCCAAGCCATCTTCCACATGGAAACCTGAGGGGGAAAAATAAAGAAAAGAAAGTACTGTAAGGTCATTGTGCTCATACTGTACTTTTAAAAAGACAGCACACAACAGATTTGATTTTCCTCTGTAAGCTGAGTGTGCTCCATTGTAAATATTTCCAATGACTGTATAACTGAGCCAGCAGAATTGTGTTCATGCACTTGAAAATAGACAATTCTTGGGGTATTGAGAGCTACAACTGACCGTCTTGAGTTTTGAAAGATCATTGAAGGCTATTTGAGGATGCAATGTTTCCATTGGAAGAGGCATACCAGGCCCCCTTGGCTCTTTTGTGGGGGAGGAAAGAAACAGAAGACAGCGAATTTCCACAAGGAACCCTTAACTTAGACCACAAACTTAGCAATAAGATTTAATTGATCTACTATAATTTTGACTATTTTGTTGCTACATTTTGGCAATGCGGGTTTAGGATAACAAGAGTTTCAAATAAACTCATTGGGTTGCCTATCTCTGATATAACTGTTTCTGTATCACAGGAACACATAGCCTACCTTTTGGAAATAAAAATAATTGAAAATTGTGGATTTAAGCATACAAATATTTAGAATGGACTACGAATGGGGTGTAATACAGTAGAACAATTTAGGCTGGCAAATACTAATGTAAACAATCAGGATGTGTACTATATAAGCTCCATTCTTCCATTAGATTCCAATTTATAGAGAAGTCAATGCACTTTTTTGTGTAAGACTGAAACTAATAAGAAGTTACTGTAATAGATAAAATATTATCTATTATATGTGAAGTAGAAAATTCCAAATAAATCAACTTGCAACATTTGCACATTCTGTTGATAAAAGATTATGATGATTGATACATCCTTGAAGAGACACCAAATACCTTCTGCACATATAGGATTACTATTTAGAACTGAATTTTATGCCATTTGTAGATTATTATATGTAACAATATTACAGGACATCTGCATTAGTAGCTGATTTATTTTCATAAAATAAGAAAACAAAATGATTCCTATCTGACCAGATGAAATCTTTATTGTTTGGAACAGTTACAGAATGAGGCCATCGTATTTATTGTACTATAAATGAGTTACTCAATAATTCAAATATTATTTGTACAATGCATAAATTGAAAGGAACCTTACTTGTAAGTGTGACCCGTCACTTCATTTCTGACCATAACATATTCCACTAGCCACTTGGCATACAATCCAGAATTATCATGTCCTATTTGTACCGTAGTAAGTTTTCCCAAATTCTGACACTAAAAATTAGGAAAAATAAAATACATTGAGTAAAAAAAAAANGATGGGCTTTCGAATGGTGTATGAATTATTTGTGTTGTTATTACAAGTGTTGCTGTGACCCCCTAGGAAAAGGTTATGCCCCGCCCTGTATTATGTACTTAGAAATTATGTAGTTTCTATCTGGAAGTTCATACTGACATGGCTAGAATGCCTGGAAGTTAGAAAAAAGAATTCCTTCTTTAAAGCTTAGAACTGGGATGTAACACTGATCCAGTAAAAACATGTCCTTGTGTATTCCTGTACTCCTACATGACCTGAGAGCAGATGCTTCTAACAAGCTGTCTTGCTTGGTTACTCCAGTTTTGTATTATGTATTAGTTAGTAGAACTTTGAATTAATCTGCCCCACCAAATCTAGTCAATAAATATAGTGTATGTTTAATTATTTATTTTATTTATTTTTTATTTTTGGTAATTATTTTATTCTTCAGTCTCTTAAAGGTATACAAAATCAAAATCTACATTTCATTGTCACTCTAAGGTTGACTATAGACGTATTATTATCTTCATGTATTGTCAACGGGATCCAGCAGATGAAAGCAAATTGTTCTATTTGTGAGTCTTAGCCTGATAACGTTAACAAAAGCTTAAAATGTTTAATAATATATCTTCTGAAACTGTACTGAAATTTTAAATATTCCTTAGAGTATATTACATTAAAAGCAAACTATATTTTCATACTGTCTTTTGAAAGTTTGAATTTTTCAACAACGATTCAACAAATATTTTATTTAAAGTAGCTATTGTCTCCAATAGGAAGCTAACAACAAATAGATCCTGAGGTAGCGATCTTAAATAAGAGCAGAAATTTTAACAAAACTGGAGTGAGATCATTTTTCAAAATTAGCTGAAGTTTAGATTTCAATCTTTACCTGATTTACTAAATGTTATATTCCACTGAATATACCTGGTACATACTTTTTAATAAACTGCCTTAAGATTCTGGTTCTTGCCTAAATACAAAATGATAACATATAATCAAAATAATAAGAGTGAAATTAAATAATAAAATGAAATATTTTAAACTTAGTTGTCCTAAAAATATGATTAAAACTTTTATCAGAGCTTTAGGATTTCAAAAATCCAACCTCATGTCCTGGATAAGGGATACTCTTAAAGGAGACATTCCTGGATTGGCATCTGACTTCCTTCTTTCAGCATCTAGAAGAATTCCTAAAGTAAAGATTACCCAACATTTGATTAAAAGTTTAAAAAATGCAAATGCTTTGATTCTGAACATTTGAAGTCATTCTTATATAGGCTCCTATAGTCACATTTTACATTAGTTGTAATGCTCATATTAAGGCATGTTTTTTTTTTCTAAAAGACCTATAGCTTGATCAACAGAGATCTGTGTTTCCTTATTTGACATATTTTCTGAAAAAATCTATTCTACCTTGAGTTTCTTCTACTGAGAGCTGGTAGATACAAGAAAACATGGTAAAAAATATTAAGAATGGAAGTTAGTAGATCTGAAATCTATCACATAAAAAATCTTCAAAACTATTCTTTGAAAATGAATACTGTACAGACTTTGCTTTTAGAACAATTAAATTAGGTTTCCAAAATGCAGTTGGATCTGCATAGCCATAGATCAATAGTTTGGGAGAATGGGGGCAGAGGTCACAATATAAGTGATGAGGCTAGCTGAAATTGTTTGCAGGCTTTGAAGTGCAGTTCCAGTGCATACTATGGTATGATTTCAAATGTGTACAATGAGCTAATCAAGTCTGATTAACCAAAGGCACTGCAGAAATGCAGGATATATACTTTTCTTGACTCAAAATAAGCTATATTTTATACATAAGAAACTAGCTCTTGGGTTGTACCAAATGCTATGATATTCTTTTCACTGGTTACCATTATAGTCTTTTGGACAAATTAAACAAGCCAATTAAACAGTTTAAGGGAACTAGAAAGGCAGTTTGACTCAAAACACATCTTTAGTAACTCCAGTTTTTTTTTACTAACATTTAAAACTCTATGTTCCACAATTAGTCCAATAATTGAACTCATCCCAATATATTTGACTTTTAAAATCCTAAAATGAACTTGTAACAGGTACAATGCAGTGAAAATATAAACATATTACTTCAAATACAATGATGGTGCCTTTCTCATAAAGAATTATTTATTTTAAAATAATAATTATAGGTGATAAATTATAGAATATTTATATTTCAGAACAGTTCTCGAAGTAAGGTCCAGAGACTCCTGTGCACCTCCTTACAGGGTTCACAAAGAAAAACAAATATTTTAAAAATGTTGTAATTTCAGTAAATGTGAGTAGATGTAACTCACACAACCAAAGCTCTTTGGTGTCCTCTGTAATTTTTAAGAATGTAAAGAAGTCTTGAAACTAAAATGTTTTAGAACCACTGTTCTAGAATAATTAATATTACCCTGAGAATAGAATTTACATCAGAATTAAGCTTTCAATAAGTAAATACATAATTATATCTTCTATGTACCTCTGTTTTTATTAGAATTAAGAAATATATTTGTTTTGTTTTTTTCTTGTACAAAATGGCAACATAATTTTTATGGAAGACAACTGTACCTGAGGTACTGAAGCTTCCAGATGTAGGTTTTCGCTGTCTGTTTTCTTGGTAATGTAACAAGTGTGACCACAAAGCAGATTTCCCCTTAGATTAAAAAAAAGGTTCATTGTCAAATATAAAATAAATCACTAATACAGAGCATGACACATTGTATATCCTGTACTTTATTATAAAAAAGATCACATAAAAAGTATCCACTGTATTCAACCGAGATAATAAAGTTCAGTTATAGAGGAAAAAATATATTCTAAGTCAAGTGTGCATATTTTGGAATAAACTTCAAAAGATTTTCAGACTATTATGAAAATTCCCATGCTCATATTCGAGATCAATTTGAATAATTCTATAGACTGAGATGCAAAAACACCAATTCCCTCAAGAAGTCCACAATGGTGGGAAAAGTGAAAGGAAAGAAGAGGATGGTCAGGAAGACAGATTGACTTAGTTGCATGATGTGTGCATCATGGAACCTTGGGAACCTTGAAGGGCCAAGATGAGGACAGATCATCCTGGAGATGGTTTATCTATGTGGTCAGAATGGACATCTTGATGGGATGTTTGTTCTGATATTTTGGGGAGTAGTCTATATTCTCTAACAAAGTGAAGAGATTTTTAGTGGTTTATAAACGTATAAACATGAAAATGATAACTCGGTACCAAGACTATGAAAACTATGAATTATAAGCCTACAGACACACATAACATATTTTATACAGAAAGTTGTTCTTCATTTTAAAACAAACAAAATGGATTATCACCTTTTATTATCTTTTTTCTTTTGGCAAAGGGAAATTAATGTAAGGAGCAAGTCTGATTCAATTTATTAAAAAAGTGATTTTCTCAATCATTCATTCTCATTCTCAATCTCAATCTTTTAAACACTATGTGATGGGGTCATTTTATAATACATACTGTAAATTCACATTTCACATGACAGTATGGATTATTATTCTTTGTAATACAAACACAACAATTCTCGGCATATTATTTGAGGGGGGAAAGGATGCCTATTTGAAATTTGTCAATAATATTATCTCTGTCCTAGGACAGGGACATCATTACAATTTTAGTTTACATTATTTTTTTATATACCCACTATTATATTTTATTTCTTTCAAAATTGTATTTTGGTCCAAAGTCCTTATACAATATGCTCAGGTTCAGAGTCCTGAGTTAATCTCAAAGCCTTTACTAGATTTTTGGGTTTCCTGTAATATAATACAGATAGCACACTGTAATATAGTTTTATAAAAGGTAATTCCATAAAATTATATGGAACATTGTCATAATTCCACCCAGAAAGTTCTATTAAGACAGGAATAAAAACTTGGAAGTGAGTGCCCTAATCACTATAGATAGCTAAAACATAATGTAATGGGACACAAAATAATCACATAAGAAAAAGTGTTCAACGTGTGGAGAAAATACTTGATTTACAAATGGGTGAATTATTCTTCTGCCTATTTCTGCCATTATACTAAAAACATCAAGCACTTAATAATAATCATGGAAGCAAAACTTTCCTAGCCAGTTTCTAATAACAAAAGAGAAAAGGTAGAGCATCCATTCACAGAAAGAAATTTTATATCAATCCAATTGTCTGTCCAATCTTTATGGAAGCAGGAGATGAACAACCATAAGGCAAATGTCTCAGATATATGGCCAAATGAGAAAAGCTTATATATTTCCTTGTTTGTTTATATAGAAAACTGTTATTCTTCAACAAAATAGCAAGATAAAAATACAGTTAAGAATAAAAATAACACCAAGAACAAAAACAAATCTTATTACACATCCACAAATGAAAATACCTCTATTTTTTTTCCTCTTTTAAATTTATTCTTGGTTTTTTTTTTCTAAGCTCTGTACTTTTTTGTTTGATTATTGCAATGGGCTCTACATGGGGGCTACCCCTGAAAAGCATTTGGAGACTACAGCTAGTGCAGAATGCAGCCGCGCGAGCGATATTGGGTGTACCGAGATACACCCANCTGAAGGCCAGACAAGGAATAATGGATGGAAACTGACCAAGGAGAGATTCAACCTAGAAATAAGGAGGAACTTTCTGACAATGAGAACAATCAACCAATGGAACAGCTTCCCTTCAGAAATTGTGGGAGCTCCATCACTTGAAACTTTCAAGAAGAGATTGGACAGCCATTTGTCAGAAATGGTGTAGGGTCTCCTACTTGAGTGGGGGTGGGTGGGGTTGGACTAGATAACCTATAAGGTCCCTTCCAACTCTGTTAATCTGTTAGGAATCTGTTCTTTGTACACTAATCCTAGAGAGGTACCAGTTCCTTCCTTGCTGATTTTCCATAAATCATTGAAAGTTATTTTCATTAGACCAGGAGTGTCAAACTCGATTTCATTAAGGGCCACATCAGAGTTGTGTTTGACCTCGGGTGGCCAGAGTAGCATGGCCAGCTCTATGTCACTCGTGTCAGGGACACCTCTGGTGGCCCAAGCGCTGTGCCAGCAAAAACGGGCTCCCAAGCTCTGATTTGTCTGAAACAACCTCATGCAACCCTCTGCCAGTGAAAATGGAGCTTGAGAGTTCCCCCTGTGGCCCTCACAAGCTCAGTTTTTGGCTGCAACTGCTTCCTGCAACTCTTTGCCAGTGGAAACAGAGCTCGAGGGGGCCACATGCAGCCCTCCCGAGCTCTATTTTCACTGGCAGAGACCCCGCGGGCAAGTCCTTCGCTGTTTCCAGGATGGCCCCATAGGCCAGATCTAAGCACTCTGCAGGCCCCCGGGCTTTGAGTTTAACACTCCTGTGACAAACCATCAATGACTAATTATTTATGATGATGAATTTTTCGTTTTGGATGACCATCTTTGCCCCCTTTTTGTTCCATGGTAAATTAATTTTTACTTTATAAAAAGCTTGAATCTATTCTATAAATCTGCCAATTTTTTACTAAGGACATAGTAGATTATAGTAGAACTTTCTCAAAACTTCAAATTAAATGCAGATAAGGGAAATTTAGTTTCTCCTTTAGTAAACTTTCTTTTGTGATCATAGTTATCAAGGTTTGCTGGAATCCACAAAAATAAATATTTTCAAAGGCCAATCTATTAAATTCATTCTCTCTCTCTCTCCTTCCTGCCCTCCCCCACAATCTCCATGCTTTTTTTATTTTGTGTTCCCTTTAACTTGAGGTAGATATCCCATGGCTCAGATACTTGTAGTTTTGAAATATAAAGCTGATGAAAATTTAAAGGCCAACTGTCAAAGGTTTGTAAGCTATTCCCTGTTTTTTTAAAAAAAACATTGACGGACTCTTAACCAGCCTCCGCTACTTATTTTAGATTATTACAATGTAGCCCTTGATCATTGAAAAATATTTCTTTGAAACAAAGCACAAGGCTTAGTGATTGTAAAGTTGCTTTCTTCTGTTCAACAACATGAGAGATACCTCAAATGTCATCTCCAGCATATTTCTTGGAATCTGCAGGATTCCTGTTTCACCCAATTCTCCTGAAATGCATATCCATGGGTTGGCTGTAAACATTGAGCCACCAAGTTTTTTGCTAGGAACAATCAATATATGGTATGGAATCACTGTAAAAAAGAAAACACACATACAGCTGGGTAATTGTCTCCAAAAATAAATGCAGGGGGAACTTTACTGAGCTTATTCAGTAGAATCTGCTACTCCTGAAATGTATATTTCCCCAGTGAAAAACTCCCAGTAAGAAACTTTTCCACTGAAATTTTTCCCACATCATTTTGTCACCTTTTAGGCATTAATGCATTAAGCTTTTTAATTTTATGTTTCAATTGAGTTCTGAAGCCAAGCACATCTGCTTAACTTTTATTGATTTATGTTATAAATTATATTTTAAAAAGTAAGTAATAATTTAGAGTTTTATACGTTTGCTGGGGATATATTTGAAGAGTAATTCAGCAAATTTTGAAATACATACATACATACATACATACATACTCTTCTTAAATCTCTTTTTAAAAGTATTGCTTAGCAAAGCTGTATTTAGTAACTGAAATCTTTACAAATCATGAACAAGCTAAATAAGGTTTTAAGGAAATGTGTGTAAAATCATCTTTCTTCTTTAATACTTTTAACTTCCAGTATCAGCCCAATACTGGCCCCATGAGCCAAATGAAAAAAAAGCAACAGCATATAGGAAGATGAGAACAGATCTTAATTCTATCCCTTATACAATTTTAGTATTTTACTAAAGTACTAGGTATGAATTATATAAACCAGTTACAACTGGGTTTAGCAAATTTATGGATATGGTTTTATTCTCTGTTTATAAATGAGGCAGTTTCAAAATGCTTTTAAAAATCACTGCTTCTAGAAAACCTATTTACATAATTACACTAATATTTTTGACCCAAGGCAGAAGCAGACACAGTAGGTACCCAAATATGCGCATACAAATACCTGTCTCACAATTAAAAATATTTATATCTATAAACTGCCTTTTGAAAATTACTCTTCCAAAAACCCACTCTATGTAAGACAACTGCATGCTCTATAGCAGTGATGGTGAACCTTTTCGGCTCAGAGTGCCCAAACTGGAATGGGCACCTCTGCATTTGCACATGCCGGTGTGCATGTGCATGCCGGCCAGCTGATCTTCTGGTTTCTGATGCGCACACGTTCACCGGCCAGCTGATCTTCGTGCATGCCAAAACCCTGGAACCCCAAAGACCAGCTGGCCGGTGTGCATGCACACAATGGCTACCTGTCTTCGGGGTTCCGGCACATGTGAAGATCAGCATGCATGCTAGAAACCAGAATAGCAGCTGACAATGACATGAGTGCCCACAGTGAGGCTTCTGCGTGCTACCTCGCACATGTGCCATAGGTTCGCCATCACGACCCTATAGCTACTGAATTGCATTCTGTGTCTTGTACTGAGCAATTTTCATTTTAAGTATCCTGAAGCATTTTGGTAGTTTTCCTTTTTTTCATTTCCCACAAAAAGTCATGACTTTCTATAACAAACTTTGAGGATATATGAGTATCTGCATAGAGAGAGAAAATGCTCTCTTTCTAGCTTAGTGATAAAAATCAATTACAGTAGTTAAATATATTTTCTATCACATCTCAAAATAAATATAATTATAGCCTCGCTGGCTTGAGAAATCCAAAGTTTAGAATTTGAATAATGTGTTGAGATTAATATTGCTTTATGAATAATAGGCTTATTTTTATTATAAGATAATTTTTAGAAGCTGCATTTCTTGAATTTCATTTTCCTGTGACTTTTCTTCTAAAACGTTTAGCTCTCTACAGTGGTATATATGTACAAGTCACATGAAAATAGTATTCCATGGATCTGACAAAGTGGAGTCTGAACTACAAAAGCTTACTGTAGAAAACTGGGAACCACAAGATAATTTGAAATTTTTTCCAATAATAAAAAGTTATACTTACAAATTGTTGTAAAAACATTGGTGAAACAGAAGTAATCTACAGCATTGAATGACAAGAGATGATAAAGAAACTGTTCTTTTTCATCATCGCAACGGAGGAAAGCATAACGCTTGTAGAGTTTTCTGGCAAAGAAAATAAACACTTTATAATTATAATAGAAGTTTTGTTCTGAAGATTGCACTGACAAAAACTAAACCAATGGATTTCTGTTTTAGAGTCTTTTAGATTTTGTGTATGCTTTATATGAATTTTGATCCATATTTCTTTTTAAAGAATGGAAACTATTTTAGAAATATGAACAAATGTGATTGTTGAAGAGTAAAAATCCAGATAAAGAAATTAAATACTGAGAACTTTTGAACCATTAAATATTTCAATCCTAGATTTAGTATCATCAGAAACTATTTGGAATGTACAATGCAAGTGTATTAATGCTCTATTCAGATTTAAGAGTTGTATTTAATGGAATTAACTAGGTGTAGGATGTATAGACTGCCATTTAAAAGAAAACAGAAATAGTAATTAATAGAACAAGAAAGTTGTAGATTGATTTACTCTCTTGGCTAAGCACAATTAATTTTATCCTCTATTACCTGAAAAGAATGGGAGAAGAAAGTGCTGAATATTAGTAAATATTTATTTAGTAGATTTAAAGAATGCCTTCACTCAAGAATTCCAAGTAGTATATTTAATGCTTTCTCTTCCTATTTTTTTTCATAACATCAACTATCCTGAGAAATAGATTGGACTGAAAGGGGCTAGGCAAAGGTCACTCATTGAGTTTTGTAGCTTAGGATACTCAATACATTGAATCTTTTTGTTCCTAGTTCTAAACTTAACCATAATTATTTCGCTGCTCTGCCCTAATCTATATGTCCTTTTCTGGAATAGTTTCATTTAAAAAAATCTTCTAATTAATATTTTTTCTTAGATAAATCTATCTCAGAAAATAATTTTATTCCCTCCAAAACTGGAAAAAGACATTAAAAAGAGGTTTTTTTGCAATATTTCTCAACATTTCCAAAACCATTATATGTTGATTTAGAAAACTAAAATAAAATTAATAGGCTTATAGATTTTGTGAAAGTATGAATTTTTCCTGGGTAGTATATGACAGAGGTAAATCATTCATGCTTTACCTCTGTCATATACTACCCAGGAAAAATTATACTTTAACAATAAATAAAATACTCAGAAAATGGTTCAACAGTGGACAACACAAGTATGTAAAATAATTCTTGGTTGTGTAAATTATTTACATATGAATGTGTAAGATAGTTGTATATTAAATGTCCACTCTGCCCACTTTAAGATATTAAAATGAGAGTTGCATAGATCAGGAGAAAGTTGAAAGTGGGACTAGGTTACTAAAAGATGTGCATGGTAAAAGAAGAGTTGGGATAAGAATGAATGAATGCTAAATGAAAGTGGATTGAATGCAAATTGAATCGTGAGAAAGAAATACTTGAAGTTATTTGGTCATATATAGAAAAGGAACATCAAGCTGAAAAACAAATATACGAAGGAAGGGAGATTGGACCAAAGAATGAGAAGACCAAGAAAGCCAGGTCTGGAGAGAATTAATGAGATTGTCATGAAGAGAAGTGAGAAGTTTAAAGAAGAGAAGACAAAGTATGAACAATGTATGGATATGGTGGAAGAAAAGATGAGTTGCAAGGTTAAATGATATAATGAATGGATTGGTATAAGTTATATTTAGCTTTCTTTTTTTTTTCTCTCATGCCAATTCATAATGGCATAGAATTGGAGGGGGACCAACATCGCAATGCTACAGACGTGCGGTCTCGATGCTCCAAGTTCGCAGCTGATACTTTTGCCGCTGGGTCGTCCAATCGGACCTAAACTGTCCTGCAGAGATGGTGAACAGGAAGAATACGTCTTGCTGATCTCAGGGACATCACAAAGTCCCTGATTGATGCAAGAGAAGTTTTTCAAGCCGGTGACAAAAAATCCAGCCAAGGCTGATGAGGTTGGGGCGGCTCCAAAATGGAAGGATACGGAAAGAGAAAGTGTTTCCAGCTGGTGAGGAATTTTTACCGTTTTAAAAGAGACTGCCTATAAAAAAACTTAAAATTGATTTAAATTGGAGAACAGAAGAAATAAGTGGCGGAATTACGTTTGGAATGGTTTTGGACGGTGGGATATCTTACTTTTTAAATGCTATGTTCACGGATGGAAACACTTTCTCTTTCTGTATCCTTCCATTTTGGAGCCACC